AGAAGGGGGTGTAGAGGTATGGTAACCCTACCAGGGCACAGCAGGGGCCATCCCCCTGCCTGGCCACTGCAGAGCCCCCAGCCTGCCCAGAGCAGGAGATGGGCGACCCCGGCTCCAGCACCAGCAGCTTCGCCTGCTCCCGAGGGGCCAGCAGCCGCCGCGCAGTGGAGTGTGAGCGCGGGGAGGCCGAAGGCTCCCCCAGGGCAGGTGAGGGGAGACACCAGGGAAGGGGTGTGTGTGTGCGGGGGGCTAGTAACACCCGGCACACGTCGGTTCACCAAGGTGAAAGGTCTGAGCCACGTGAGCCCCACAGACACTCAGAGGAGCTGGCAGCGTCCAGCGGGCAGAACTGGGCACTGCAGGACGGAGGTTCCTAGGGGTGTGTCTGGGACCGGAGATATCGGCTAGTGACATTCGGTTGCACAATCCAAGCAGCGGCTGCCCAAAGTGCTCACTCCCGGAGCAGGGAGCAGTCACGCGCCAGAGGCTGTGCGGGAACAGCCCGGGAGTGGGGGTGTCACAGCAGAGCAGGGTGGGGCTGGCTCCCAGAGTCAAGGGCTGGAGTGACCGAGCAGATCACCGGCCGGATAACACCAGGGGAACGTCACAGGCTGGTTTGTGGTTCTGTGTTTATTACAAATCTGGAGATGAACAGGATGCAAAACAACACAAACAGCTGCCTCAGCGTGTCCCCTCCCCCTCCTGGTGCTAAGCTAGGATGACCAGACAGCAAATGTGAAAAATGGGGACAGGGGCTGGGGGGTAATAGGAGCCTATATAAGAAAAAGACCCAAAAATCAGGACTGTCCCTATAAAATTGGGACATCTGGTCACCCTATGCTGAGCCCTCCTGGCCCCCCACCTGTGGGGCTGGGTGGGGCAGCACCAGCTGGAGGGAGGGCTATGGGGGAGCTATAAGCCAAGCCCATTATTGGGGGGGGAAATCACTCTGTCACCCTGTAGTGGCCGATGCTCCCTGCCCCGTCTCTCCAATGACTCCTCCTGGGTTCACGATAGGGGGGTCGATGGGGGTCGTCTCTGCACCCTGGGGGCTCTGCCCGTCGGGCCCCTGGCTCACGTTGATGGTGGCGTACAGGGCAGGCTCGGGGGCAGGGGCCGGCTCCCCCTGCTTGGCCTGCAGCACCTGGCCGTCCAGCTCGGCGTAGGTGAGTCCGTTGGCATCAGGGTTGGGCTCCTGGGGCTGGGAGGGGAGAGAGACACCAGTGTGGGTGTGCACGTGTGTGTGATGTGGGTGTGCGCATGTGCCAGCACAACACACATACACACACCACCAGACAGTTCTGATCCCAGCCACCAGGAGGCAGCGATGCCCCCTACAGCTCCCCCCCCCACATGCAGAGTTGCTCTGACACGCTCTGTCCTGTCCAGCAAGGGGCTCTGAAGAGCTGCTCTTCCCCCCACCCCCGGGGAATCCAGCAACACCCCCACACCCACTCCAGCCCAGAGAGCTCCATGGGGCAGAGATCAGGGAAATCCCTCCCGCCACCCCCTGGCACCTGCCCCCCATGGAATTCCGCTGACCCTCTGCAAATCTCAGACAAATGCAAATGTTTGGAGGAAGGTTTGAGGGGGTCAAGGTGAGTTTGGGGGGTGCAGGGTCAGGCTCTTATTCTCTGTGTTCTGATCCCCAGCTCCAGTGTCTGCCCTGAGAGGGTACGGGGGGGACCAGGCAGAGTCTGGGGGTTTGGCGTCAGAATGTAGCTTAGTGGGACTTGTGCAGGGCCGGATGGTGCGGGGGGGGGAGGCTGGATGGTGCATTGGTGCTGGGGGTGGTGGAGAAGTGAGGGGCACTTACCAGGACATTCAGCTGCTTCCCTTCGCCCACAAGGGCGTCTGTGGAATAGAGACACCCCCCCGGTGAGCGGCTGACCCAGATCAGGGCCCTGAGCCCAGCTCCCCACCCGCAACTGAGCCTTTTGCAGACTGGCCCACCTGCCCCCCGGCACACTGGGGTGGGGCAGGATCACTAGCCCCATGATGCAGTGGGGGAAACTGAGGCACAAGTGGGGCGAGGCACCCCCAAAGACACACAATGAGTCAGGGCTGCACCCCACATCAGCATACCCCCCCCCACAGGACACAGACCCTGCCAGGGGACACCCGCCCCTCCCCCCTGCTCCATGGCTGCCCCCTCATGTGTGACTTACAGACTGTGGCTGCAGGCTCGGA